AGAGAGAGAGAGAGAGAGAGAGAGAGAGAAAAGAAAGACAGAAGATGGCAGTGCCGTAACTACCAGAACCCCTGTACATGCCAACAGTAGCCTCCGTACCCTTGCATCGCATTGCATGAGGTAACGCTTCCCCCACCAACACCACCACAATGCCTTTCCCAAAGGTACCGTGTCATGTCTAGGGAAATCGATAGGTCATGTCAAGAAGAGATGGATTTGGCCAACTGGGCACTAGATCTAGGCCCAACATTGTGATAACTGATAACTGATCCCTCCTTTTAAAAAAAAATAAACAATAGGCAATAAGCACCAAACCCCCCTCCCCCCCGAAAAAATCCTCCTAAAAATAAATAAATAGTCCCAATACATAAACAACAAAACATTTTTTTAAAAGCCATTCAACACAAGAAAAACACATAAAAAACAACCAAGCAACAATAAAATTATTACACGTATTTCTATAGCATAAGACAGAAGTCCTTTAAAAAAAAAAGGGGGGGGGGGGGGGATACAACTGTACATATTCAGAACAAATCTTCCCGTCAACCTTTTAGTAATGGAAATGGGTGTAACAGGTAGATTACGGTAACTTCTTTTTTCCCCTGAACAACAACGACAACAACAACAAACAACAACAACAAAAACAACAACAAAAACAACAACAACAGAAACAACAACAACAACAGCCACATGTGCCCTAGATCTAGCACAACCGGAACATTACGCCATCTCGTGGTCACCGTAAAACAAGAAACACGAGACAGCTTTCTCACAGGGAGCACTTTTATCTTTTCTAGAGACATACCAGCCTCCCCCCCCCCCAAACACACACACACACACACACAAACAAACACACACACAAACAAACACACACACACACAAATACATGAGTAGGCTGAGTGAGATACTATGTCCTAGTAAACAGAAGGGGCTATTCAGTCAACGATCTTATGATATCATTCACACTGACCAAGGACAATATAATATATTCAGTCAATATAATTGTAACTTCCCCACCGTGGCATCGAACCCAAGTCTTCTGCGTGCATTAAAAACGCACTAATATAACAAAGGCCAGAAACCTTTATCCAAAGTACCAAGTCATGTGCGTCGTTCAAAAGCCAAACACCTTTCCGTTTTTATTTTGAATCTCGTAACCAGGACTCTAAGACGCCCAACATCATCATCATCTCCATCATCATCAGCAGCAGCACCACCACCACCTCAGCAGCAGTTTCGAAGTATTCCCAATTGTTGCGGCCCACGGATGACTTTTAACTAATTGTGTTTTTTTTCTACGTGGCTTTACTCCTTTCGACTGTTAGTGATGTTAGACTGTTGCTCAAACCCTTATATTTTCAGGTTTCTCCACTCAAAGATACATGTACATGTATAATCCCCCCCCCCCCTCCCTCACCCCCAATCTTTTCATCTGCCTTCTTCTCCTTTTGCCCTGCAGGACAGGCTTTGTTAGAAAACACGCCCAATGATCTTTCCACATGTGAACGTGAACAAATATTACCAGATAACAAAATACATTGTACGTTTTAGTCTGTTGCCCTTGGGCAGTGTGAATAATATCAATAGATCATTTAGGGTCTGTCAGCAGGGCTAAGCGTGTGTGGGATACATGTATATCTCTACCACCCCCCC